CCTCCCGCGGAGCAGCTGCGGGCGGACGGCCGGGTCTGGGTCCTCAGCACCGTCTGGCGCGTTTCCTTTCTCCTCCAAGAGTCCGAGTTAAACTGGGGAGAAATTAAAGTTTCCGCCGACTCTGGAGGGTGCACACGGGTCTCGCCGCCTGACCGTCCCAGGCACCTGTGGGTCCGTCTGCAGGGTGGTGGGGGGTTCCGTCTGCAGCTTGGCTGGACGGCTGGGGGCCCTCACAGGTGGCCCCTCCGCTGACCACGTCAACGCCTGCCCGGCTGTGCCCGATCGGGGAAGGCGGGATAGGGTAGGCGCTTGCAGCCCGTGTGCGTGTGTGCGTGCCCGCAGTGTGCGTGCACACACTTGTGAACACACAATTGTAAACAGACCCGTGTGAGTGCGGGACTGTGCGGACCCCACGTGCACCTCCCTTTGGCGGCTTCCCCTCCACCCAGCCCGCCGAGGGGCCCGCCAGAACTTTCCGGAGCCCTCCGGCAGGGGAGCCAGCGTGTCCCCACTTGGGGGCGTGGTGCTCTGAGAGCCACGCCGCCCAGCCCCTCTCCCCCACCCTGTGCGCCTGAGCCAGCGAGTTTCCGCCGACATTTCTCCCCAGCTGGTGTGGCCCTCGGAGTCCTCTGGAGTCCAGGCCTCCAGCCCTCGGTCCCGAGCCCGAGGTGTGAGGCTCCCTGTGACCGGGGTCTCGGAGTCTGCGACATCAGAATGGGCAGCTGCCTGTGGAAGCCGCGGGAGCTTCGGTCCACCCTCCCCACGCCCAGACGCCCGCGCCAGCCCCTGGGGGTCTCAGCCGTCTCCTTCCCACCGCCTCCGGGGACCCGCCCGTGGCTGTTGGCCTGGAGCGGTGGGAAGCGGGGCGCAGCCTACTGGCTCCTCGCTTCGGGGGTGATGGATGAGGTGCAGGGAGCAGAGAGGACACGGTGGGGCTTCGGAGGGGCCCCTGCCCACCGCCATGCCCCGCCCAGCCGTGAGGGGGCTGATTAATGATCGGCCGAGGGTGTGTGTGTGGACAGCTCATCGCACACGACCGGGCTGGACGCCGGGGTGCTCCCTCCCCTCCCGGGCGCCATGTGCTGCGGGCCATGAGGCCTCCTATGCGAGGCCAGCACTGCCTACTCTCGGTTTGGACACAACAGAGGCGATGTCCCCTCCTCAGGTCCCCACCTTAGGGTGACAGCGCTGCTGAGCGACACCATGCCTGCCGTGTCTGCTGCACCGCGAGGTTCCAGCGGAGCAAGGTGGCCCGTGTGGCTGGTCGGCAGTGCGGTCCGAGCGCCGTGGCAGCCTTGGGCTCCCAGGCCCCCCGGGACTCGGCTGGGCAGCGCCCCAGGGGGTGGCGAAAGTGCAGGGCGTGTCCCCAGGAGTCACCGGGCCCTGGCACAGACCACCGTGCCCCGGGGACCTCGGGGTCCTGAGAGGCAGACCGGTGACATCGTGTTTCTGTCTCTCTCCTTCAGCTCCTAGAATTTGACAAAGAGCTGTCTGTCTTTAAGGACAGACTCTACGAACTGGACATCTCGTTCCCTCCCAGGTAAGGAGCACTGCGTGCTGCACGAGCAGGTAACTGTTCCCTCCCTGTGGCCGGCACGGCTGTGCTGACCCCCCGCCGCCTCCCGGCCTGCGAGCAGCGGGTGGTGCTGCCCCCGCAGATCCGCGAGCTGGGCCCGCAGAGGCGGCTCTGATCCAGGTCTTTCTGGGGCTGCGGGGCCTGCCGCAGTGGAGGGTCTGAGTGGGTTTGGTTCCGTTTCCGTTTGGGCTCTCGCTGCGTTTTCCTCAGACGTTTCCAGAATCTCAGAGTCTGTAGCAGCTGTGCTGGCTCCCTCCGACCAGCCTGGGGGTGGGGGCAGGCGCAGGCACTGAGGAGGCCGTGCTGGGCGTTCTGGGGACAAAGCGCCCGTCCCACGGCTCCTCCCCACCGCCCCGCTCAGCCCCCTCGGTGGAAGTGGGCTGGGCCTGCTGGGGACCCCGGAGCCGGTGCCAGGCCACACGCCTGAGGCCGTGGGTCTGCTCCGTGTCTGGACCGTGCTCGAGCCCCGTGGCCTCAGGCTCTGTGGGGTCCCCTCCCTTCCCGAGCCACATTTCAGCAGTTGGACACGCACAGGCTGGAAGGGCCGCCATTGCTGCCGTGGGCCAACCTGCCCTCGTGGGCCCGCGCCCCTCGGGGTCCAGTCCTGAGCTCAGGGTCAGCACCCAGACGAACAGCGGGATTTCAGGGGCCAGAGAGGCAGGGATTGTGGGTCCCGCAGCCCTCGGGCCACCAGGCCAGTGCGCAGGCCCAGGTATGGATGCCCACCAGAGAGCGAGCCAGCCGTGCTGGACCAGCAGGCGGCCTCAGCAGCCAGTGCCGTCCAGCGTGATGGGCTTGTGTCCCTCACGGCTCTGAAGCACTTACGTGCATGGTCAAACGTGAGACGTGTACGTCCTGGTACACGGGAGCTCTGAGGGGTCCCTGGGGGTTTGTCAGGCTTCTTCTGTGGTGCTTGAGCGGAGGTCTCAGACGTCCCTCCTGGGCACTCACAGATGTTGTCCTCAGCGTCACCGAGCCGGCCAAGCAGGCTCCACGGGCCAGGGCGCAGCCCCTGGGGACCTCTGTGCGCCATGCTGGCATCCGTGTACCCATGACAGTCACCCAGACAAGGACACAGAAGATGCAGGCAGGACCTGGCCGGAGCCCACAGGGCCTTGTGGTCAGTGCCCGGGGGACAAGGGACAAGCCCACCATCAACACGGGGCAGCTGAGAAGCCTGCCCTTCCACACGTGGCACTGCCGTCTGGCATGCTAGAAGTCAGCCGTCACGGCCGTGGCCGTTTGGTCCCTGGCTGGCAGCCCCTGGGTGGCTGGAGAAAGAAGCTCAGGCCACCCTGGGCAGGTGGCTGACTTGGCCCCTAAAACCCGCCCAGATGGGGGAGGGCTCTGGTGCCCAGTGGAGGAGCGTCAGCCCCTGGCTGTTGACCTGGTGGTCACCTGCCACCTCCCAGGCCACCTGGGGAGGCCGCCAGCAACATGGGCTTGGGACAGACCTGCCCAGCATGAATCTCCATGGGGTTTCGTTGGTTCATGTGGTAGGACGGCCCCCGGAGATGTCCCCACTCTCGTCACAGAATCTGTGAATGTCCCATGTGACATGGCAAGAGAGACTTTGCCAGATGACAGTGCCCTTAAGGCTGGGAGTGTCCTGGCCCCGGGGCCCGCCTGACTCGTGGCCCCTCATGGCCGAGCTGTCAGGGCTGCTGGCGCCCAGGAGCAGGGGCGGTGGCTGGCGGGCTCCAGTTGGCGGTCAGTTAAGTTTGCAGACGTTTTCGCTTCACTTTGGAAATCGTGTCCGAAGCTTTCCGAGATGATCATGTGGAGAGGAGGAGGGTCTAAGTGTCCCACACGGAGCCACCGGCTTTCACATTAGAGGCCAGACTCAACCGAGCCACACAGTAGCCCGTGGTGCCACACCCGCTGAGGCCATCACCCCTGCGTGTCAGCTCAGTCACCCCGTCCCTTCACCCCCACTGCCCAGGTCACACCTGCTGTCCTCCCACGCTTTGGCCTGACCAGTATCGTGAAGACCCTGCTGTG